GGAAGTACAGACGTTCCTCTTGTTGATAGCAGAGGAGCGGATCCAGCGAGAGCTTGATGGGGCGACGCAGAATGAAAAAGTTTTTCAGGAGTCGCGGCAGTAGAGGCGGCGCAACTATAACGACATGTGAATAATCCCGCCCACTCTAAAGCGGTACTGAACTGCAGTGGAAACGCAAACCGAGCCGTGCCGTGTCGTACCGTACTGAGCCGTGCCGAGTCGTACCACGCAGTGGAAAAGCGCCAATAGTGTATATATAAGTGGTCTGATCTAGACAATATGAACGAATACATAAAAAAATGAATCCTTACATATAGTTTATTTTTTTTATTTAATAAAAGATCTGGGGGAAAAAAATAGCATTTAGCCCTGAATGTAAAGGGGTCATGACATGAGAAATCAAATTTGCCTTGATATTTTGGCATATAAGCGGTCTTCGAAACTTCCTAAGTTTCATAGCTTCAAACCTCCTCCTCGTGTATTTAATCAAGCTCCAAATACAGCTTGTTCAGATCTGAGAGGGCATGACGACGTCACGGGGGAACAAACATTTGCATAAACACCGCCTCCAGAGCAAGACATTGACGAATAGTCATCTTCTCACCATAGGCCCCGCCCACTGGCATTCAGTCACGATTATTGATTACGCTCACATTTAGCGTCGCGTCAAAAGCTAATTGAAATGACAATCACTGTCCTAAATCACTGATGATCTGCATTTATCATGGCCATCCATGGGATTTTTCTATATAAGGACTGCAAAAACACTGTGTTTTGAGAAATGTCATGTGAAGCCTGGGACACAGTCCGTCAGGTGATCGGTGATGTTCACTCTAGTCTTGCCTCATCACATTCCACTCTGTTAGGTTTCTAACAACTCAAACAACAGTTCCTTCCTTCTTGCTTTGCTTATAGCCTGTTATGGTCTTCTTTTAGCATTTCCCATATTTTTGGGTTGAAGTTGGTTGCAGTAGCCTACTTCCCGCTTGAGTCTCGTGTGTCTTAATACAACATGAGTAATATTCCTCACTTCTGGTGGCAAAAAAATCCCCCAGTGCTTCATAGAAAATGATATCCAAACTGAAAACTACCGGTATTTATGGTGTTGAAATGGTTTCTATTAAAGGGTGCAATGATAATTGCTTATTCAATGTGAAGTCAGCAAATGTAATTGCAAAAAAAACAAAAACATGTTTAATCATAAATACAACCATTAAAAATGGCCAGATTTTTTTTTTTAATATTCTGCAAGGATGCAGTCAACTGACCAAATCCCCCCCCCCCGAACTGTTACGTTTTCTAGCAGCAGATCAGCATATTAGAATGATTTCTGAAGATCAAGTGACACTGAAGACTGGAGTAATGATGCTGAAAATTCAGCTTTGATCACAGCAATACATTACATTTTAAAATATATTAATATAGAAAACATTTTGTTTGAATTTTAATATATTTCACAATATTTAAAAACGCTGTCTTAGCGAGCATAAGTAGCTTTTTTCAAAAACACATTGTCCGAAACCTTTTGAATGGTAGACTATAAGCATTGATTAATTATTTAACACCAATTAAGAAAGTCAATAAGGTCCGTTATGATCTCATGCTTGATTTGAAGTAATTAACAGCCACATATTTGGTCATATAATATTGAATGTGAACATTCTATGGTGGCAACCTAAAGTTGTGTTTACTGAGTTGGGAGCAGGGTGCGAACTACGGGGGAGCTAGGGGGAGCTCGGCTCCCCTTAATAAGACATGGGCTCCCCTGAAAATGTGATTTGTGAAATTTTGGGGGGTCTCAAAAAATATTGACAATGTGTTATTTTGATGTGCAATGTTTTGTGTAATGTGATCATCGTGGATTATTATGTGTAAAATTGCAAAAATATCATTCATCCATGCATGACGGCGATTTAAACCTAATTAACTTCAATAAAGATAACTATACATGCTATTCTTGTCATGAGCATCAAGGTGTGGGGGCGCTGCGGTGCAAATTCCACTCATGTTTAGTACATGTTAACCCAAAGATTCGTAGAAAAAATATAAACGCTGGACTCTGTGGTCGATTCTGTGTTAAGGTAAGGCATGTTATTCGCAATTATGTGTTGTGGCTGGGTTGTTATAGGTCTGCGTGACTCTCGATGTCTTAGGCCTAATTGAACGGAGGAATTATGGTATTCTTCTGTAGCCTGACGACAAGTAACTTTACGTTAACCGTTGTTCATGTGAACTCAAAGACAGCCTGATGCTTTGTTTATAGACTATTTGTGGGTGGCTGTTTGTTGTTTCACCTATCAATTCGTGTCGATAAAGTATAATAGGGTAAATCCTGTATAGTGATTTATCCTATATAGTGCTTGCATAAAGCAAGTAGTGCATACACTTGTAGCTGTTATGTATCTTTGTAAGTCATTGTAAGCCCTCTTTTGAGGCAGGCGCAAGCGCACGAACTATATATATATATATATATGAATATAAATACGTTCGCCTGAGGCCGGAGCCTGCTGCCATCCGCCATGATGGGGAGGAGCAGGGAACGGGGGACTCCTGCCGGCTGCCCGAACCCGGAGGAGCCGTCGCCGTCCACCGGGCGGCCGAGGAGTGTTGGCCGCCCACCGAGGGTTATCCAGTGCCGCCGCCAGGCATCGCGGAAGAGTTTACCCAGCTGGTGGAGGGCCGAGCGGCAGTGTGTCTGGGAACCGGAACAAGATTTTATTTATTTTTTCCTCTCTGTCGTCTCTGTCTCTCCTCATCCTTCCGTCTCCTTTTCTCTCGCCTCGTCTGTCTGTCCTTACCCCCAGGTACGCCGCGGCCGCCGTGATCTGCTCCCCCGGAGGGGGGAGGGGGGGGAGTAGAGCGCAGTCTCGTGGGTACCCCCTGACCTGCGAGGGGTGATGGGGGTATGTGACGAGAGGGGCGGGGCCGAGAGCCGTGGGAACGGAGCGAGGCCGGTGGAGTAAATGCTAATGCGCGACACCTGCGCCACTCACCGGTCTCGAGTCCCACGGAGGAGCTCCGGAAGGATAAAAGGAGGAGTGACGACAGTGTTGGACGAGAGAGGACCAGGCCTGGATTTTTTTTAGTGTTTTGGTTCTGTTTGTGCGCGACAGTCGTCCGTGAGGGGCTGTCGTGCTATTTTGTGTTTAATTTATTATTAAAGTTTTGTTCAAATGTTCGCCGGTTCCCGCCTCCTTCTTCCCGAACTATGAACGTTGTTACAATATACATGCATGGAAATGTTTTTAAAATATGTTCACACACATTATGTAAACAAAAACTTATATTTTGGATGCGATTAATTGCGATGAATCATTTGACAGCACTAGTAAAAAATATAAATAATTCTGAAGTTGCTGGTTTGAAACAAAAATCCCCTGAGAGCGGCCTGATTCATGAGCCATCTTGTGAGCTCGCTGCGTTACATGCAACAGAGCTGCATCATAGTTTGCTCATACAGTTTGCTTCCAGCTGTTGCGCGTGACCATAGTGGCAGATATCTAAACATTTTAAAGAACGAGCACAAAATAAGAATAGTTTAAATATGGCATCCTCAAAAAGCAATGTAAAAGATTGTGCTGTAGTCTATGATGCATATATGATTGTTCATAACGTGACAAACTTCACATTCGAACCGAAGCGAGAACATTGCAGAAGTAGGATCAGTGCATCACAATGAATCAGTGCAGAACTCTGTTGCAATTCTCTATTGCGTATCCTAATAGTTGCCTCAAAAATCAAACTTCTGGCATTGTTTATTCACCCTCAACCGGTATGACTGACTGACTTCCGTGGAAAACAAAATGAGACATTTTCAAGAGTTGAACTAGTCACTATTTCTGTGCAATTATAATGAATAGGAATTGGACCTTTCAAGCTTAATAAAAACAGCACTGTTGTGCAAAACATGCACACTATCCATAATTATCTGAACTATAGCTTAAATTAATATTAATTGCAATGCGATGAAATTAGTCATATAATTAATTACCCATATAAGTACTGCTACATGGTTAAACTGAACTGATGCTGTTTCTATTGAAACTTGTATGTCATCTATTGCATGACATGTTTACATGTACTTTAATATACTAGTCAGTACACAAAATAAGTGTGCTTTAAAGCACAACAAAAGATTATTAAAACAAATTGAATTAAAATGTGCCTATAAGTAAGACTGCTGGGATTTCTCTGTTTGCACATTTAGTACACTAATTTTGCAGACTGGTGCACATTTATGGCATGATTGAAGTGATTTGATTTTTCTGATTTGCTCTTGTTTGACTGCCAGTGGTCAGTATGGTGTGTATGCAAACACAAACGTCAGTTTTTCATTAGTGCAGGATGACTGTTCTAGTTTCACCATGCATCCTCAGCTGTTTTGTGTGTGTCACAGAATCGTGGGTAGGAAACACTCAGCTGTATTTAAGCAGGCAAAGTTCCTCATTTTGGAATAATCAAAGGCTCACGGCTGAAGACTCTTCTTAGCTTTCCTCACAACACCTGCTTTCTCTGCTGGCAGGTTTTAAACCTAAAACTATATTCTACAGTCACAGGTAGGATTTTTTCATTATTTCAAAACACAGTGAGTCCAATATTTGGACACTTGATCATATTTATTTTTAAATATATTTATTTTTGTATTTTTGTTATCTAATGATTTAATGAAATTCTAATGAAATTCATATAGTAATATAGTTTGTTTTGTTACTCTACATGAACACTAGGACAACATTGCATACTGTATACTCACAAAAAACAATCAAACAACAACAACAGCACTAGTGAACTGCAGTGTAGATCCAGCAGTGACGCAGTGGGTTGATGTGCTCTCTGGTGGTGTTTTGATGCAGGATCGCTGTGGGGCTGAGATGTGCACCGGTCACTGCTCCAGGTCTGTGGGAATGGCTCTGATCCCTACAGCCATCGTCTGCATGCTGGCAAATGCACTGCTGCTGTTTCCTGATCTGAAGTATCAGTACCTAACAGAGAATCATGTGACCAGAGAGGCCATGTGGTGCTCTGGGATCTGGGCATCAGGGCTTCTGGTGAGCTTATCTGTTCTTTTGTTTGGTTTGGTTTGTAGGAGATCTGATACCATTCTATATTATTTTGCTATTATATGTGACCCTGGAGCACAAAAGCAGTCTTAAGTCACTGCTGGGGTATATTTGTAGCAATAGCCAAAAATACATTGTATGGGTCAAAATTATTGATTTTTCTTTGATGCCAAAAATCCTTAGGATATTAAGTAAAATTTCCTACCGTAAATATATCAAAACTTAATTTTTGATTAGTAATATGCATTGCTAAGAACTTCATTTGGACAACTTTAAAGATGATTTTCTCAATATTTAGATTTTTTTTTGCACCCTCAGATTCCAGATTTTCAAATAGTTTTATCTCGACCAAATAGTGTCCGATCCTAACAAACCATACATCAATGGAAAGCTTATTTATTCATAAATTTAAAAAAATTGACCCTTATGACTGGTTTTGTGGTCCAGGGTCACATATATTAAAACAATTACAGAATTATTATTATTATTGGAATATAGTAAATGTAGTATTCAATAATATGTGTCTGTGTGTTTATATATACTCAGTATGAATAAGAATCTTGTTAATAAATTATTATATTAGATATTTACTGAATAATAATAAACTGAAGTCATCAAAATGTATTTTAAGTATGTGTTATATATAATTGAATATAATTGAATAAAACATTATATAATTATGTATATTATATATAAGTAAGAGATAATGCACAGCATGTGCATTAAACAGTTTTAATGCACAGCTGCCAGCCAATCAGAATCGAATATACAGACAGACCATGGTATATGTTAGAATATACAACAGAACAAAAATAACTAAATTGACCTATTTTACATTTATTAATATACATGTTACTTATTTATTTGTTTGTTTATTTCAATATTTTTTATTTATTTATTTTTTAGGGCATTACTCATATTACATGATGCAACTGTCATGTGGCATCTGTTGTGTATTTTACATCGGACTGTCCAGTATTGCTCTGATGGCTGTTGTGTGTTTTGTCAGGTGCTTGTGGCCGCGCGAGGTTTTACAACACACTATGAAAAGAAAGGATGCTGTTATTTTACTACTGAGGTAAGACAATTGTATTGTGTGGATTTGTTGTATTTTCTTCTTAACCATCATCAGTTGAACAATAATTGATTAACATGATGCTTTGAACAAATATTCTTTCCTAATGATGCCACGTCACTTAACAGTGTTTTGGGGGATTTTTGTATATATTTTTTTTTGTGGTTTCCAGGTTTTGCGTAAGTTGGGCTACACATGTTTGGCTATTCTGGCAGCTGGTTTGTGTTTCATGGTGAGCGGGACGGGGCTGACGCGGGGGCCCCTCTGTTTACACAACAGCACTGACGGCCTAAAGTGGGGACGGCCATTAAAACAAGACAAAACTGGGTGAGTCAGACCTCAGATTGCTAGATTCTTTCACTATTTTTACAAAGCTAATTCACTGCTATTCATTCAGTAGGCAAAAGCGTCAACATTAGTATTGTTTCGTTTCACTGGGAAACAAATCAGACATTAAACCTGATGTGTCCATTATGTGTGCATTAAAGTGATTTTAACTCCACATGAAGTTAGCTTTGAGGTTGTGTGCTGTAAAGTTGAGTTTATCTTATGTATCGTTCAGTGATGGAAAAGTTACTTTGTTACAGATTACAAGTTACCCTATCTAAAATGTAACAAGTAGTGTAACTATTTAAATTACTTCATTAAAGTAATGTAACTGATTACATTTGATTAGTTTTTGATTCCTTTTCTAAATTTCTAATGTTTTTTGAACTGTTATTCATTTTCAAACATGTACAGTAAAGCAGGCAGGGTTAACCTTACAGTACTCGACACTGATTATTGTCAGATTTTCAAAGTCACTTGAAATAAGAGTATAATTTAATTTTAAAGCACAGCCAGCACAAAATCAGAGATCATTTGAGGTTAAATACAGATTTAAAACCATAACAAGGAATAGTTAAGTAGCTGTGATACTGTTTTTGAAATCAAATCTTTGCATAGTTATGACAGGAAACACTGGCATCTAATTAAAAAAATAAATAAAATAAAGCATACACATAAACCCAAAACAGTTATCGAATAAGCATGTGTCCTATTCTGTGTACTAAAGTCCTGAAACATTGGTGTCTCATATTTTTAGAGCAGTCACTGCAATTTATGAAAGAAGTCAATTAAATCTGTATGTGGGTGAAAAAAATAAATAACCGTGAAAAAACCTTTTTAACCGTGAACATTTTCATAAGTACATTTTTGTAACTGATTACAGTTACATTTAATTTGTAATGAAATGACATTAATTTAGTTGCATGCGACTAGTTACTTCCCGACACTGGTAGTGTTAATGTGTGCTGCTCTTTTTGTTTTGTGTCCAGTGCTCTCAAGCATTATGCTATTATATGTAAATAACTCAAGCACATGTTCACGCAGAGAGCAGCTTTACCTCTATTAGGGCTGCACGATATACCGAAATGATCGAAATATCGCAAATGTAAATATCGCAATATGCATATCGCAAGGGCGTGCGATATCTGAATCATTTTAATAATAGGCTACTTAAATCAAAATGTTGCAAAAGGTCAAAGTTTTAGTTCGACGCATATAGCAGAGAATTGCTTGACGTTAAAAGGAGTTATTAAGTGCAGTAAGTTGCAGAAAACAAGTCTTTGCCGTCTCGTCTTGCTGTCTGACAGACTCACACCGCGCGCACACAGAGACAAGCGTTTCAGACGGCGCGCGAACACAGAGTTGATTCGTCTTTCGCATCTCCTCGTGTTTGAACAGACACATACACACAGAATTATGTCAATAGTACCCGTCTCGACGATCATTCTCATAAACGCAGTCGGTTATGTTTTAAATGAATGGAAACAGCTGAGAAAAAAATTGGATGTGTATCATACTGGATCCGTGCAGTCGGAATTTAAAGGGACAGCTTTTTCTTTCTTTTTTTTTTACTGACTGTTAACTTGCCTTTAATCATGTTTGAACTTTCTCAGACTGTAGTTTTTGCTGTGGTATATGAAGAAGTACTTAAAGTGTATGTAAAGCAAAGGTACAATGATATAAAATTAGTGTAATAATTTTTTTTTGTTTGTATGTTCACACTGATGTTAAAATGACATTTTCTAAATTGTGACATTACTTTTTATGTAATGCTAAAACACTGCTGGTCACTTTCAGAAGTTGTAGTGATTCTTTCTTTTCCAAGAAAGAATGTGAAACAAATTGGTTATATAATTTGAATTTTTTAAATATCATTGAAATTGATTTTACACACTTTAAGCAATATCGTATCGCATATCGAATATCGCATTTTTTAACAAGGTATCGCATATCGCATTTTTCTTCAATATCGCACAGCTCTTACCTCTATGCTCCGGAGCGGTGGCCATCTGCCTGTGTGGAGCCTCGGCGTGTTGTGATCTGGAATATGGCTCTTTTCTCTGTCCTCATGGCAGCGAGTGGCCTTCAGCTCATTTTCTGCGTTCTTCATCTCCTCACCGCCTTACTGGAGTCCATGTGCAGACCCAGCTTCTGCAAGAATAAGGTACAGATGCTCACAAAGAGCCTTGTGAAAAAGACACGTCAGTGAATTCACTGTGCACTTGTAGCATACTTCAAATCTACTGTAAGATAATGTCATATTAATGAAATAAAAGTACACTTAAAGAGAGTGCACCTTCATGACTGCGTTTCTTAAGTGAACTTTGTAATATAGTCAAATGAAAAGTTTTACTTTAAAGGATTTGAAATCATTATTTTTATTAATCTTGCCATGTTTTATAGAAGTACACTTACAGTATTTTGATGTGTTGACTAGCATACTAAAGCTCATGTAATGTACTTGATTTTAGTGTTTCTATTAAGGGTCATATATTTAAAATATACTATACTTGATCATTTCAAAAGTGTAATTTCATTTTTTTAATACATGCATTAGAAGTTTTAATAGAAATGATATATTTAAATAGCAAAATGCTTGTAAGAACATTTGGCAGAATGCTTTAACCGTAAATAAAAGTAATAATGAATTTATAAGCAAGTATCACTTAAATAGGTCAAAAATCCACTCTAAAGTTCAGAAAATTGCATTTTTGCATTTATACCACAATTTAAAAATATCTACTTTTCTTTCTTTTTTAGGTTGTTCCTGTTTGAAATGACTAGAGGTTCTATTAATTTCCTCTCCGTGTGAGAATGAGAAGGACATTTTTGGGGGGTTAAGCAGTCAGCTATGACTGCTTAACTTATTTTAAACAGAGAGAGAGAGAGAGAGAGAGAATAGAAATGGGAAGTGGATCGGGGAAGCCAGTTTTCACATCCCTGAAGTTTTTTACTGCACTGTCATCACACACATCCAGTCTTAAGAGTGATTTTAGTGACGGTAAACTTTGAATCCCAGAAACACTTGAACAGTTAAAATGCCTTGAATAATCCACTAAAAGCATAGAGACAAATAATCCGTTTCAAATAGTCTGTATTGTAATATACAGTGGGTACGGAAAGTATTCAGACCCCCTTAAATTTTTCACTCTTTGTTATTTACTGCACTGTCATCACACACATCCAGTCTTAAGAGTGATTTTAGTGACGGTAAACTTTGAATCCCAGAAACACTTGAACAGTTAAAATGCCTTGAATAATCCACTAAAAGCATAGAGACAAATAATCCGTTTCAAATAGTCTGTATTGTAATATATATTCAGAATGCACTTTAATATTTTTGCAATGTATAGTAGTGTAATTTCATGTGTATGTATGTGTTGATACTGAAATGCTTAGTGTTAGAAGATGATATTTTTATTGTTCGATTTCTACGAGATTAAAAACGAATTGTATGAACACTTCATTGTGTAAAGGAATGCATTATTTACTGAATTCCACTAAACTGCATTGATTTTAATGGAATATAAAAGCAGCACACTTGTCAAGAAAAACACATTTCAGAATGACTGTTCATAATACAGAAGTATAGTGAAATGTGTCAGAAAAACACCAAATAAACACAGACATCACAACATCACAATCATGACCTCAGGTTATTTCAAGCTGCGACATTTTCAGAGAAAACGGCATTTATCCTAATGGTAGCAAGAGGGAGAAAATTCTCAACAGTTCTTCACTCTACTAACCATATGTTTGTTAGGAGAAAATAGTATGTACTGTTGTGTTTTATTATATATGTCACAAAATGCCTGCAGGTTATTGGTTTGGTCATCATCAACATTTATATGAAGCTAATTAAAATGAAAAGTGACAGTAGTGATTTACAAATGACAAGAAGTCATTTACATTGTTACAAAATATTTATATTTCAAATAAATGCTGTTCTTTTGAACAGTTAAGGCTAGATGCTATACAGATTCGTCTACTGTGCATGCGCACATCAATCTAGTGTAATTTTTTTTCACACTGTACAACAATAATCACTGTTTTTGCATTATTGTAAGGGGTAGATTTAGGGTTGGGGTGTAGACGTCAGAGGTGGACAGTAACTAAGTACATTTACTTGAGTATTGTACTTAAGTACACTTTTTGGGTATCTGTACTTTACTTGAGTATTATTTTTTTCTGGAAACGTATGACTTTAACTTCACTACATTTGAAAGACAAATATTGTACTTTTCACTCCACTACATTTCTATCAAGGTCCTCAAAGTAGAAAGTCGTTACTATGTAGCAGCTTTGAAAGTCAGTGGGTGATTTGTTTCTTCTCTATAACGTGACTTTCTTTCTTTTTCAGACAGTTTATCAGTAATCACTCTTGTAGGGCTACATGAAGTGATTTCCCAGCATTTTTTGAACACTGACCAGTTGCAAATGTTATATTTATTTACAACAATTCAATAATAAGAAGTTAATATTGTGGTATATATTATACACAATATTGTCTGATTTTGCTAAATTGTGTATGTGAAAATATTACCTATAAAGCCACAGAAGAACTGTTGTGCGTCTCCTAATAAAACACAATAGGTGTTTGCTTTTTTGTTTTTTGTTAAAGCAGTGTTGCTGTTGTAAAGTTATACAGCTACAGTTGTGTTGCTGGGTTTTAAAGCAGGTTCGTTTTTTTTTTCTTCCTTATCAGTCTGTATTTACAGCAATTTCACTGTCCACTCTGTTCAAATGTGGATGAATGGCTACACATAGATGTGTCCAGAGCTGTGTGAGATCACTACCATCCTGCTTTTGTGGGGGTGGGTAGGGGTGTTAATTTTTTTCCCCCATAGGTTTTTAACATTCTAAACGCTCTTTATTCCAAAGATACTACATGTCAGTGTATTCAGTAGCTGTAATGTATTGTAAGTTGCTTCAGAAGTATTGCAAGTATTACATACAACAATAATAAAACAGTGCATTGACATAAATAAGGAAATTTACTTTTGGTACTTAAGTACTTTTAAAAGCAAGTACTTCTGTACTTTTACTTAAGTAAAAATCTGTCTTTACAACTTTTACTTGTAATGAAGTAATATTTGACCAGCAGTATCTGTTCTTTCACTCAAGTAATGGAGTTGTGTACTTTGTCCGCCTCTGGTAGACGTTAATAAAACACATTCTGGTAGAAAATTACATTTGTTGTTAGCTTCCGGTTTTAGCTGTATCCCGTCTAGCCACAACCCTTTTGAACATATTATTCTTCAAAGAATCCTGGAAAAAAATGTATCACAGTCTCCAAAATATGAAGCAGTGCAGCTGTTTTCAACACCGATAATAATAATAAATGATGAAATAAATGATGATTTCTGAAGGATCATGTGCCCCTGAAGACTGGAGTAATGATCCTGAAAATTCAGCTTTGATCACAGAAATAAATTACATTTGAACATATATTTACATTGAAATCAGCTATTTTAAATTCTAATAATATTTCACAAAATTAAATGAGCAAATTAGATTAGCAGAATCTAAATTAGATTAGCAGATAAATTAGCAGACAAATTCTGCCTTGGTGAGCAAAAGAAACTTCTTTCAAAAATTGGAAGAAAAAAAAAAAAATAAAATTACCAACCCCAAACATTTGAACATGTATTTTTGTGTACGATATTTTTGTTGTTGTTATTGTTGTATGGTGACCGCGCGTGAATATAATTTTTTATCATTCTTATTCTTATTACAAATACTACAATTGTCAGCACCTGTAATTACGAACCATGGGAAAAAAGTATTCATTATCATTGTACCTGTTTACAAACTGTGTATTGCATTATTTTATGGTGTGATCACAGCTATAAAAGACAACTTTTGAAGTCTTGACTACAAAAAGGAAGTGAACTTCTCTGTTATTCTCTGCTATTTGGCCTACATTTCAAACAGAATTTGCACTGCGGTTTTCCGGAAACAGCATACTTAAAATAGCTTTGAGTTGAGGGAACCCCTGCTATGGACTCTCAGGATGTAATTCATAAATTTAGTCTCTCTTATTTGTCTTCTCTACTTCCTCTTTTCCCTCGTATTGTTTCTCCCTGCTGGTGTCTCCTCTGTCACAGCTCGCCACTTTTCCTCTCGCTCTTTCAAACCTGCTCTATTTGGACACCCAAATATTTACACATAAAACTCTGTCCCTCCAACACAATGACTCAGAGTGGATTATGTTTTTGAAGGAAAAAAGAAACTTGCAGCCTCTCACGTGCATCAGAGAGCTTCAACAATCTGATCGTGCTAAATAGTAGCTCAGTCAGAGTGAGATGCTTAAAGGAAGTGTTCATCCAATTTCGAAAATTTGCTGAACATGTGCTCACCCTCAGGCCATCCAAGATTAGGATGAGTTTGTTTCTTCATCAGATTTGGAGAAACGTAGCATTGCATCAGTGTCTCAGCAATGGATGCTCTGCAGTGAATGGGTGCCGTCAGAATGAGAGTCCAAACAGCTGATAAAAACATCACAATAATCCACAAGTAATCCACAGCACTCCAGTCCATCAGTTAATGTCTTGAGGAGAAAAGTTGCGTGTTTGTAAGAAACAAATCCATGAAGACATTTTAAATTCAAACTGCCGCTTCTGGTCAAAGTACAGAGTCCTTAATCTAAAAGAACGCTTTCTCCAATTAAAAAGTCCATCTCCTGTTGTTTCTCACATCAAAATATTTGTTTAGAGTTGTTTTGGACTGCTTGTAAACGGTGCTTGATCTGTGCAGATTTCTCTCCTGATTCAGACCAGACAAATTTTCACTGGAGGAAGCGTTATTATGGATAGAGGACTCAAGCAACAGTCTGAAGTTAGAAATGCTTTAATTATGGATTTGTTTCTTTCAAACATGCATCTATTTGCTTCACAATTCGTTATCTGATGAACTGGAGTGGTGTGGATTACTTGTGGATTATTGTGATGTTTTTATTTCTCTCATTCTGACGGCACCCATTCACTGCAGAGCATCCATTGGTGAGCAACTGATGTAATGATCATTTTCTCCAAATCTGTTCCGGTAAAGAAACATGGGATGGGCTGATGGTGAGTAAATTTCAGCAAATGTTCATTGTTTTGGACGAATTTTTCCTTTAAAGGAATATATCACTAGAAACATAAAAATATATTAATTCACCCTCATGTCATTACAAACCTATGACTTTTTGTCTTCCATGAAATACAAAAAAATAAAAATAAAAAAGGAATTATAAGCAAGTTCCTTATTTTGCGTTGGAGAAAAGAGACGTTCAGTGACTAAAAAGAAGTTCATTTATGTCGGCAGAGGTGCGTGTATTTTCATCTTTCACATACTTCCTAAAAAATGAACGCAAAGCAGGCAACATTATTGTCAGACTTTGATGCTGTAGAGATACAGAAGTGACAAAAAGGAAATAGAAAGAGGAAGTTAAAGAGACATACACTCACTAAACCATTCATTTGAGATGGTACTGTACATGCCATTGCATTTTTGTCCTTTTTCTTCGAAGGTGCAATAGAGAGAGAGAAAAAAATAAAAGAATCTAATGCGGTTTAAAGGGCGGTCCGGCTTGGGAAATGGCGTGAGCCGGACTTTACCTCATGTTATCCCCATGAATGGCATAGTCTAATAGGTCAGATCATGCGCACTAACCACTAGGTCATATTTCTGACCGTACTTATTCCATATGATTTAAACTAGTGATGTTCACACTGACTAGACAAAACATCACTGATAATTTAATAAGCAAGTTCAGATCCTGTATAAAATATTGCATATATATATATATATATATATACACAATATCAAAAATATAATTAAGCTTTTTCGGTGAAGTAGTTAGTAAGGTCACACTTTATTTTAAAGTGCAATTCTCACCATTAACAAACCATTAACTATGACTTTTGCCTCAATAAACTCCCAATTAGCTGCTTATTAATAGTTAATGCGGTAGTTGTTAAGTTTAGGTATTAGGCAGGATTAGGGATGTAGAATATGGTCATGCAGAATATGTGCTTTATAAGCACTAATAAACAGCCAATATTAATAATAGGCATGCTAGTAATCAGCTAGTTAATAGTGAGAATTGGTCCCTATACTGAAATGTTACTGTTA